ACGCGACGGAGATATATGGATTTATAGTAAATTACAATTAATGCATATCTCTTTTTCGATAAAAACACGAAAAATGAATTGTGAAACAAAAAGCGTGTGTCATCATTAAATTAAACACATCTGATTATCGCGTATTGCATATCGGAGTGAAGTGTAGCGCGCTCGCGCGACCGCCATGTTGTGTGCTGCGGGAAACGACCAATCCGCGTCGCGAATAAGTTTGAATCTCGCGGCAGTGTTCACGACTATAGTCGCAAAGTCAGCGGTCGGTTCGCGCGCGTTCGGTCGTAAAATTCGCGAGAATCCGCGAGAATTGTGGAAATCCGCGACAATCGTTGATCGTTCTGTCCTCGGCCGCGTTATCGGAGATGATATCGAACGTCCACGCGTTTCCAGGACATGCATCATTCCGGATTTCGTGATTTCGGCGATTATTACTTTCGTCGACAAACGGCTCGTCTCGATATGGCAGTTTGGCGGCAGCGGCGGACTCATCTCGGATTTTTATCTCGGATTACCGTAAAGTTTTTCCTCATATAGTATAGAATTTTAATTGCAGCAACATTGGTGCAATAATTTCAATGTTACTGCAATAAATTGGTAGAATGTTGCAATTTTATTGGATATTTACACCGAAATATTTGCCTCTACAGCATAAAGTTACACAAAAGTTGTAACAACACTTGACACTTCAACCAGCTTGATTCGAGTTTAACAAAAATTATTTTCAGCGAAATTTTAGATCTTTCAACAAAATTCTTTTGGTGTATTATTCAGTTAAAATCGTCAGTAAAATTAGTAAAAAAGAAAAGAGAAGAATAACAGGAGTCTCGATGTTAAAATAACGTTTTTAGAAAGAAAAGTGTATATATTTGGGTGTTTGGAGAAGAATTCGAGTTGCGCTTGTGACGTCTCGACACATCTCGAGCCCCTTCCTCGTGACGTGCCGCATAGGGACTTGTTGCCTCTCCGAAAGATGGCGGCACAGCTCCACCTGCGCGTCGTTACATCCGAATGCGCTCGATAGCGCGGTGAGCGCGGTGGCGCGGTCTAGGTACTTCGCGTATAGAGGCTCGTGATTCGCGGATACATCCCATGGTGGAACGTGGATGCTGTGCGCGGTGGTTCATGTCTCGTACCCGCGCGAGTACGCACGACAATACTCGGACGGTCGTGGTGTCCATCGACGACGTCGACGACGTGCGCGCGTGGCCGCGACGTTAACGCGCAATTCTCTCTCTCTCTCTCGTATACCGTAAACGTTCTCACTTCTCGCGAGTGACAGCCGTTCGTTCGGCCCGAAGACAACGGCAACAACGGTCCGTGTTGCGCCGACGTGTTCTCGCGAGACGCGACGCGCGGCCAGCCAGTCTGCTGGAATGGTCGCAATGGGTTGGTAAACAAATCTCGGGTGGAGGTGGGATCCGCGAGGAGTGACGAGGGAAAGGCTCGAGAGGCTGACGTCGTCGCCAGGAGAAGTGACGTCGTAGTGAGGATCAAATAAGAAACGTAGTACTCTTCGCGGTGAGAGACGCGGTGAGAGCGGAAATTCAAACGACGATCGCAGAACCGAAGGAGAGACAGAAAGCGAGACAGAGATACGCGCCGATCTCTGCGTCGGATATCTCTCGCGTCGCGTCGCGTGTGTGTGGTGAGTGTGTGTGCCCGCGTAGTCGAAACGAACTCTTGAAAGCGCGCCTTTTCGGAACGGCGTGACGTCGTCTGAAACGCGCAGCGAAACTCTCATCGTGACGTCCGACTTGCCGCCACGTTCACGGTCAAGTGAACCCTGATGAATCCGTCTGCCGCCGGTCATTTTCGATAACGCGAATCGGCGGACTCGCACCACGTGATTCGCGCTACGAGCGTGAAACTTCGGCGCGGCGCGCCGTTGGCGGCCCTTTAAATCGCCCGGGGCGTGCCCCCCACTACGACGCGCGTGTAACGGTGCCCCTCTGGCCATTTAAATCCCACGAGGTCGGTCGGCTGATCGACCGGTTCTCCAACAGTTTAAAGGGCCCCCCCTGGAAGGGGCCCTTCGATTCTCGCGCTTGAACTCGCTTCTTACTTCGGTCCCTCTCTTCACGCCGCGAGTCGCCGCGCTCTCGCTTTCGATGTCGCCGTCGCAACGTTTTACGAATGTTCTTACGGCGCCGCGATCAGTCACGCGCGCGAGATCGTAAACTCCCCGCGTGGAGATTAACGGCGCGACGCTTGACTGTGTTTTGGCAGCGATCACCGAGGTCCCAACCCCGCCCCCTGCTCGCCGCCCATCCTCCAGCCTCCGTCGCTTCGCTCATCCGCTCAACCTCGGGGAACGAAGAATTATGTAACGCTCGCTGAGAAGCCGCCGCCGACCACTGAACCCGGCCCGCCCGGCTCGGAATGCGGGATTCCTTCGCAGTTTTCGACGAGACGTGTTTGGCTTCGTGAGTACCGAAAACCTTTTGTTTCCCCTCTCCTGGCCGACGTCGGCGCCGGCGCAGGATCCCATCCATGCGAAATTAATCCTCGGATATACTCAGCGCGCGCACTTGATGTTTTTACGTACTTCGGACTGGACGTTTTCAGAGTATTTATTACTTTATTCGCCATCCCAGAAGGCCATTTTTAATTTATGACAATAATAAAATTGAATTGAAATTAATGGCACTCGAATCATTAATTGTCTCAATACTTCTTTTGAAATATTTAGATCCAATTTTACTAATATAAGATTAAACTTTAATCTTGATTTGACTTGCTGTTTATTTTTTCTAAGATTTAGGAAAAGATAAAAAGTAGATTGAACCGAGATTAAAATTAAATTTAATCTATCGATAGAATTAACCTTAGAAAAATGTGTGCGAAAGTAATATATAATATTAATACTTTGCAACTTGCGCTTAGTATCGAGAATTTATTTCGTTGCGAGTGGCGACCAGAAAGAATGAATTAATCATTAGTTAAATGAATAGTATAAATCAATAAGTGAGAATATAAGATCGGTATTCGAATACAATCCTTCTAATGATGAAAGAAAATATTTTTTTAATAAAGAAACAGTCTTATAATTTTAAATATAATTTAGCCAAATGTATTGATTCTATTTTAACGAGAAACTTGAAATAATTTCCGCTACTAAGAATTTAAATGTTTCAAATATGTATACATTAAAGCACCTGCATGCCGCATGTCACGCGAGAATTTGCATAAATTCAATGCATATGTATATGTATGCTATACGAAACTGTAAAGTAACTATATATATATATGACGCGCATCGTTAAGATATTAAAATATTAAGATTCAATCGATAGCTCATTTTCTCGAGCGGGCGTTATAAAGCGACTTTTAACGAGTTCGCGATTGTAGACATGATGCGCGCAGCTGACGTCGCTTTTGACTGACGAAATTCCGGTAAAACGAGCGAAATTCTAGCGGACGCGTCTTCACATAGAAACGAGTTTCAGAGGAAGCGTATA